ATAAATATTTAAATTCCCTACATTTGACAGTTATCGATTTACGAGTAACTGCGTGCAGTTCTTTTATTATTTTGCTTTTTCTTCGTTTTTCTTCGTACTTTTGCATCGTCTAATTTCAACCTCGCCTCATGAAAATAAAATCAGCCAAAGAAATAAATAATAAAGTTTTTGCGAGTCTCTGCATATATGAAAATGTTGAGGTTGAAAGGAGGAGAAAATTTGACAGTCGCTGTCAAGCGATTTCGTTTTGACAGTACAGCATAAATTTTGCAAGGCGCATTGACGCTGCAGCAGCCACAGACACAGACTCACACGCGCATGTGTATGAAAAACTACACAAGCACACATATTTCAATTTCATGCTGTAAGAAATGAGGTGGTAATTTATTTTCTGAAACGCTTTTTACTCGACATTTTTTACATACTACTTGTATATAGGTAAATTTGTGCCTAGAACTAGACATCGCTCAACAAAGGTTTCTTTCTCCAAAGTGATTATTTCATTGGTTGTACGGTCGTCAAATCAACATTGTCCACTTCAGGCATGAAAAAGTCAGTAAACATGGTTCTACAGCGTTGCTCATTGATTAAGACATTATAGCCGATTTCAATTTGATGGAATATGGAGCAGCGATTTTTTAACGATGTAACGACGTCTCAACAATGACTTGGTGAATATCATCACTCCAAATGCGACAATTTTATTTGCTAACGCAACGTTTCAACTAATAGTGGAATTCATCGCTTAACAAAATTTTCCTTTTGAAAATCGGGATCTCTCTTTGGATATTCATAATAAAATTCTACCTAACGTAGAACTCATTCGCGTCTTCTTCGCTACTCGGCGCAGCAATAATAACGTCTTCGGAGCGCACTATACTTTACCTCTACAGTAAAGGTGATACGAAATCGGTCCATGATTGCTCGAATTACCGACTCTGCTGGTTGATTATTCCGATCGCATATTGAACGAAGCGCGAGGTGCGTCTTCAGAACCGAACAATTATTAATAATTATTACATATTTTGCACGATTTGCAAACTTTGTACCTGAGCAGGTCTGTTCATTATAAAACGGCATACCAAACTAAGTACAAATCACGTAACAGCTGTCAAAACGACCAACTCTTTCTCATTAAATATTTTAGCGATATCTTAAATCGATTATAATGATTATCATATTAGAGTAATTTGAAATATTTCATTCAAAATAAAATTTAAGGTTCGAAGTTTCCGAAGAAGTTACCTGTACTATTGTGAGCAAAAAACACAAAGACTTTTTATACTATCGCAAAAAAATTGCTAAAGAGAGTATTATAGTTTTGTTCACATAACGGTTGTTTGTAAGTCCTAAAACTAAAACAGTCAGATATAAGGTTATATATACCAAAGTGATCAGGGTGACGAGTAGAGTTGAAATCCGGATGTCTGTCT